GGGCTTTCACTGGCTGGATTTTGGAAAGAAGATTGCCAGGCCTTTTTCCTGAGGCTCTTCTGGGTAGACTCAAACCTCCAGTCTCTCGGTGAACAGTGAGGTTCTTACCATTCACACAACCCAGGGACTCCTGACAGGCCTCAGACATTAGCTGTTTTCAAAGCTACATTATGAGCATGTGGAATGCAAAATTAACTCTTACGTATTAAAAAAAACAAACAAAACATGGTAGATTTTTCTTTGAAATTGTGGTTGTTAAGGATCCCTGGTGGCACAGTGGGCTAAGGGCTGGGTCACTAACCTCGGAGTAGGTAGTTCAAACTCACCAACCATACTTCCAGAGAAAATTGAGGCTCTTGGCTCCAGTCAAGATCTTCAGTCCTGGAAATTCGACGAATAGTTCTGCAAGGAACTGAGGGTTCCAGTCCCGGAGTGGCTCTCTGAGTTGGAAACTACCCAAAGGCAGTGGGTTGGGGTTTTGTTTGGTTTCTCAATTGCCAGGGAAGCAATTTCTGTCATGGAATAACCAAGAGATACTTGCACTTAGTACCAATTCAGGCTGTGTCTAGAGGAAGGCCAACTGGCCAAATATCAAGTTCGATTGAACATAATCAAGATTCCAGTGGTCTCTGCCTGATGGTAAGGTTGTTCCGGACAATTGCCTTTGGCTAGAATGGATCTGCAATGACTCAGTCTGACTAGATAACCTGCAGATGGGTTTGAGACTCCCATGGTCCTCCATAGCCTTCTACAAATTGGGTGCTCTTAATTTTAGCCCTGATACTTTTCTTGTTACCATACTTGAATTTTGTAATTGTCATCTTTGGATCACACAAACCGGTGTACTTATTCTGGGTGGACTTAGTTGACTTCTCATGTAGATGGCTGCTTTTTTGAATACAGCCTTTAAGACCTCAGAAACTACTCCAATTAATAGCTGGGCACCATCTACTTTCTTCACCATACTTTGCTGTAGCACCCTTATCTTCAGTGATAATTTCATGAAGCTGTTTATCGAGCAGAGCCATAATATAAGAACTAATTGTTCTTAAGTTGGTGCTAGAACTGATTGTGGTTGCCCAACTTATTTTAAAGGCGATTTGACCATGGGGTTGGGGGAGAGGGGTGCTTTAAAACTGGTGTGGTGGTAATTGTGCAACCCCCCTTGATATGATTGAACAGTTGAGCTATTCAATAGTATGATATGTAAGGTATGTGCCAATAAAACTGTTGGGAGGAAAAATAAGTCTTAGTATGTTGCATCAGATCTACAATTCATTGAATCTCATGGAAAAAGAGAGTGTTAGGGTATGGGGAACACCAAAAGGATTGTTGATTGCTGAGTGGATGTTTGCCCTGGGCTGGTGCCAGCTCAAAATACATCAGCATTGTCCTTATCGGCCTGCACACATAGCCACATAGCTCACGAGTGCTGTATTCACTTTGACTGCCAAGTTAAAATAAGCCCGCATCACTACAATATGTAATAAACAAGGGGACCTAACTCTTGCCTTACAAAATAAAATTAAAATTTAAGAAAATAAAGCCAGGGTTCAGTGATTTTTAGGAGCATAAATTAGAAAGCCATCCATCCGCTGCAAACAAAGGGTAGAGCAGCAAATTTTCAGAACTGGGAAAGAGGGACCAGTTGCACAGAAGGTCCCACACCATTGAAGTGGCGTTGGCTACCATCAGATAAAAAGCGCAACACAGAGAAGGCATTAATTGACATTAATTAGAAAGGAAGGAGTGGGAGAGAATTGTCAGTTTAGCCAATTTCCCAGCCTGTGGGTTTCCTGGTCAAATGATGAGGATACAAGACAATATTGAACGTTGAAGTTGGAAGCATTTACTTTTCCCCCTGGGAAAGAGAATATGATGGCTTATGAGGTCATTTTAAAATAAGTCTGTGCTCCTTCTCATATGAAAGGAAGAAAACTATTCCAGCCAAGTGCAACCTAATCAAACTTGAACTTCCTGAAAATGCATCAGTTGATAAACCAGGATTTAAGTTCAAGGATACATTCCACCCCTAACCCTCATTTTACAACTTTCAGAGATAAATTGTCCTTAGCACTAAAATCTTTCTAAGATAGTCTTGCTTGCAAAAGCAAATTGTTTAGAAGCATGCAGCAAATTGGCCAGATGCTTCCAGGACATAAATTGTTTCAGAAAAGCAAGGTAAGAACTTTTAAAAACGACAATACATTCAAGCCATGGCTTTTCCTTTTAATGCTGTGAAACAACAATGTTCAGCATCTCTGTCTTGTTACAGAAAGAGTTAATACAGCTTCTCAAAAGTGCTCATATTCTCATAGAATATAGTTTATATTTGGGAGAATTTGGCACAGCTTAAGTTACAGTTTAACTGATTTGCTCAGAAGAATCCACAATAAGTCATTTCCCCGGCCCATTTGTTCCTAAGTGTTTATTAGCAGAAATGGATACAAAATGTCAAAGTGGGGGGAAGTATTATTCATATAATTCTACTGTCTTCAAGACTCCACATCAAGCAATCTAAATGACAGCCTTTTTCACAACCACTCCCAACTGGCTGCCAGCCCTTCGAGAATTTTAGGAACACGGCAAAGATCACTTTCAGCCCACTATCCTAGGCCCATCGAAATGTCTCACTGTAGGATGCGTGTGTGGAACTTAATTCATGCTTATCTAAAGCAAAATCATTCTTAGACACAAAACCCAGCTTGAAGCCTAAGGCTTCTTTGCTCCCCTCCAGAAAAAAAAGTATTTATAAGAGCGCACAGACCTAGCTATTGCTTTGGTAGAAGGCACTACTAAGGCTCTAGTTCCTCTCAGTCTCATTGGCTACATATACAATTTGTTGCAAAGAATAAGCCACTTAAATATATATACATACACATATATATATATTTCGATTTATACACACGCACACACGTTGCAGCTAAATAAACTGACAAACTGCAAGGCCCTACTTCTGATTCTTCATTTTCACCTTATCCCAGAGCTTAAGAGGTACATATTGGGAAGTTATTTGTGATTATCTTGCAGACATTTCAGTAGCTACACACACGTGCATCTCACAGTCTTGTCCAGGACCTCTATTTTGAGAGTTCTTTTCACCTAAGAATCACTTTACCTATCCTGTCTTGCTGAGACTGTGAGACATGGGAGGGTACATCCAAGAAAATTTAGTTTGGGAACCACTGAGGGCATGTTTAACAGGCCTGCTGGGTGTTCTGCTAAGGCTGTCTTGGCCCTCGGATTAGATTGCTATGCTTTCTGTGGTGCAGTCCCGGGTCATCTGTGCATGAAGACAAAGGCAACTTCAACTTGAGGTCTCTGTCGTTCCTGCTGTGGGAAGAGTCCTTCTCCTGGTTTATAACATCAATCACTCGCGCAATAAATCTTGATGGTGGATATGGTCATTTAAATCTCCACCTGCACAAACACCAGAAAATAAGAGAGCTCATAAATCTCTACCCTGGTGATTAACAAATTTTGAATCCTCGGCAATGATATGACAGCCGAGGGGTTCTAACTAATTCATTAATAAAGACTGATTTGCTGACAATCTGTTTAGTTTACAGCATGGGGGAAAGCAAACAAGATCCTGCTAACAAAACAAAACATTCAAGGTTAGGGAATTCCCAGCTGAGCCCAGGATTAGAGAGGTGATATCTCAATGTAGACGAGGTGCCCACTGTGAGTCAAGCACTCAGAAGCCCCTCTGAGGTTTGACTCCATCTTCATCGGAGAAATAAACCCTGGCGGGAGAAAGCTGGGCACTCAGAACCCCAGTTTCATTTCAGCAATTTCATTCAGTCCCTTAAATTCAGGTTCCCTTGGATTTTCTAGTTACTTCCCAGGAGATTTTCTGATTCCTCACAAAAGATGATTGGGGCTTGAGTTAGGGATGGGGGCCAAAGAGCATTTCCCCGAGTTTTGTAATGGCAGCTTCACATCCTGGGAGCCAAGAGAATGGAAGGACCAGACCGGAGAAGAGAAAATAATTTGCCCAGGAGGTAGGCAGAGTCAGAGGAAAAATGCATTTAGAGAAACCAATCCAACCCAAGTTGATTCGGGCTCATAGCGACCTTACAGGACAGAGTGGAGTTGTCCCTTTGGGTCTCTGAGACTGTACATCTTTACAGGAGCAGAGAGCGGCATCTTGAAGTAGAACTGCTGGCCTTGTTATGAGCTCAACCATAATCAGGGCTTCTTCCATTTAGAGGGGGAGCCCGCCAAAGAAGCCCTCCCTGCAAGAGCATGTCTGGGAGCCCAAAGGCTTCAGGCAATGCTAAACAGGTTTCTAGAAAGAAAGTGGGAGGATGTTCTAATTCATTAAGAAAACTTTACCAACAAAGAAAATATTTTTCACACAAGTATATTAGCCTCTCTCTCTCTCTCTCTCTCTCTCTCTCTCACACACACACACACACACACACACACACACACACATCTTAACTGTATGTGGTTACACAATGGTCAAGTTTGTGTCTAGACTGGCAGTTCTTTGATATCTTCAGAATAAGCAAACTCAGAATCTTATTTATTTTGCTAAACTGTCTTCATCATAAAGATTCTAGGAGGCACTTGTTGGTCTACTGTTTTCCACCCAAGTAAAGTGAGAGGAGACCTTGGCAAAGCCATGAAGTCTTATGGCAGTGCTGGTAGGAGGCAGGTGATCCCTGCGTTGATTGTAATAAGATGATTTCTGCGGGGTGGGAGGAATTGGGGAGGTGTGTGGGTAGAAGGCCCAAAAAGAGTCAGAAGAGCTGGTCTTGTTCCCAAGTCTCAGAAACAACCAGCTGTGATCTTTTAAGAGGTAGAGAAGGCCTTAGGGTGTGAGCGCAAGGCGCGGGCTGTGGGTGGGGCTGGCGGCCCCGGGCCTGGGTGGCAGTGGAAGGAGGGATTCGCAGGTTGCCTTTGAGTTGATTTACATTACAAGTTGGAAGTGAGAGCCGGGGCTGGAGGTAGAGTTTCCCTCCTGCTGTGAAAGGGGTCTGAGAGCGTCGCCGGGGCCCAACTGGCCCCTCCCCTGGGCTGCAGGGATCCGCCTCTCTATTCCCCAGATAAATTCCTAGTGTCCACCAAATTCCTCAGCGCTCTCTCACACTCCCCTACGGCCTGGACTCCGGGGGTGGGGAAAGAGAGCGCCCCGGCTCCCGCCCGGAGAAGCCCTGGCGATTCCTCCCCGTGGGTCTGCAAAGGGAGGGAGGCCCGAGGCCCAACCAAACCCCCAAGTCCCAACCGGCAGTGGCCCCTCCAGACTCGGGGACCACTCCAGGTTTCTTCCCTGTCTCTAGCCTTCTCCGGTGCTGCCCCCGATCCCCGTCCCCTCCCGCCACCATGTCCACGGGCTCCCTGAGCGACGTGGAAGACCTTCAGGAGGTGGAGATGCTGGAGTGCGACGGCCTGAAAATGGACTCGCACAAGGAGTTTGGGACTTCCAACGAGAGCACCGAGGAGAGCTCCAACTGCGAGACCGGGTCGCCGCAGAAGGGCCGGGGCGGCCTGGGCAAACGGAGGAAGGCGGCCCCCAAGAAGAGCCCCCTGAGTGGGGTCAGCCAGGAGGGAAAGCAGGTCCAGCGCAACGCGGCCAACGCGCGCGAGCGGGCCCGGATGCGGGTGCTGAGCAAGGCCTTCTCCAGGCTCAAGACCACCCTGCCCTGGGTGCCCCCCGACACCAAGCTCTCCAAGCTGGACACGCTCAGGCTGGCGTCCAGCTACATCGCCCACTTGAGGCAGATCCTGGCCAACGACAAGTACGAGAACGGTTACATCCACCCGGTCAACCTGGTAAGGGACCCTGGCGCCGGCCCCGCCGCAGCCCCGGGCGGCTGGCCTCGGCGGGCTCGGGC